TCGCATTCCAGAACTACTAAAATAGAGAGAAAGGCACTTGAGCTTCTCCTCTCTAATCCCTAGCTAAGCGCTAAGGATTTGGATGCAATCGCGTTCCGATATGCGATTTCCTAGAAGGGGGAGATTCTGGTATTCCTCACGTGACCCGTATTTTTCAGGAAGCCCCGGGAGCCAACCGCTTAAGGGTAGTCCAAACGTAGCTCAATATAAAGAAGTGAAGGAAAATTATCTAGCTATCTTTAAGGCCCAGATATATATTATAGCAGGAAAAATTAAAGATAATTTAAATAGAATCTAGTAAAACTATAAGTTTCTAGGCTCTTTTACTATTAGAACTAGTATAGAATACTAGTTTATTTGTATTATTAATAAATTAATAATAGTAAATAGGTTTGCTAATATAGAAAAAGAAATAAAGAAATAGCTATTGAGAAACTATATTAGAAAGAATAGAAAAGACTTAATTATTTATTTTAAATTAAAAGTTACTTATTAAAAAATATCTATTAGAATTTATATAAAGAATCTAGTAAAAGAAATAGAAGAAAACTTACTATTAACTTCTTTAGAAAGTTAGACAGTTCTTTATTTAGCTCTTTAATTCTTTATATTATTAAATATCTACTTATAGAGAACTAGCTATAAAACTATAGTCTATAATTCTATAAAACTAGATCCGGCTATATTTTAATTTATAAGACTTTAAAAGACTTCAGGTAGCCTATTACCGGTATAAAAAGCTATAGCCTAAATAGTAGCCTAAATAACTCTTGTATTTATAGCCTATTAAGCTTATATAATAGTATAAGTACTATTAAAAAAATAATTAGATTAAGTAATATAGCTTATAGTAAAAGGAAATATAGAAGAAAGTAGTTATAGGGCTATTAGAATAGAAGAAGCCTGAAATAAAGCAGAAATAGTATTTAGTAGTTATATAATAATAATAACTAGAGAAATAGATATAATAGATATTTCTATAAAAAAAAGATATAAAATAAAAATACTAAAAAGAGCTAGAAACTTAAAGTATTTCAGATATAAAGAGAGAGGCAGATATAGGCGGAATTCTAGAGCTATAAGATTTAAATCTACTAGTATTATTACTTTAGATAAGTAAAGTAATAACCTCTATATTATATTTATTATTAGTAAATTAATAGAACTTGTAATATTAAATATTATTATACTAGTATTTAGCTATAAGCTATATATTTTTAGGGCAGATTTTAAGAAATAGTAGTATTATTTTAAGAGATAAGAATTTAAGGATATAAAATATTTATATAGTAGAAAAACTTAATAATTCTATTAGTATTATTTTTAAAAGTAAAAAAGAGGTTTCAAAAATAATATATTTAATAATAAATAATATATTTAATAATAAATAATATATTTAATAATAAATAATATATTTAATAATAAATAATATTTATTTTAATATATCTAGTTATTCTATAACTGGCTTATTTAATTATTCTATATTATTAGAAGTATTACTAATAAAGAGCTATTTCTGGGTGAAGTTCTGAACTATTAGAAATTATATAAGTATTCTTTTAGCCTATATATTACTTATATATTTTATATTTATTAGAATAAATTACTTAAGAATTCTATTTTATATAATAGTAGTATTATATTTACTAGTTAGCTTTTCGAACTCTTCTAATATTAGTAGCTATTCTAAGGCTATATATATTCGGACTATATATTAGAGCTAATAATAAGCTTAAATATATAATTAGTTACTATTTCTATTAGTATTTCTTATATAAATATTAGCTATATTTATACTATAAAATATAAGCTTCTAATAATATTACTTTAGTATTTCTTTTAGTAGAAACTTATTAATATCTATATTAGTATATAAGTAAACTATTTATATAAAGCTATATAAGATTATATTACTTACTTTAAACTAAATAATTATTAAGAATTATATTATAAATCTCTATATCTATAAGGTAATTCTAGTACTATATTTTGTCTAGAGGCCTTATATATAGTCTAAATAGCTTACCGGCTACTATATTAGGCCTAGATCTGTTTTTTTAATTCTATAAATATTTTATAAGTCTATAAACCTATATATTTTATTTTAAATCTATTATATATAAAGTACTAGTAAAATAATCCGGTTCTATAGATATTAATAATTATAACTTCTAATATAGGCTAGTTTCTAAAAGTAGTTCTATATATACTAATCGGAATTAGTTATATAATCCGGTACTATAATACTGAATCTAATAGCTTTAATAAAAAGTAATATAATTATTAGTACCTAATATTTCCTTCTAATAATAGAAAGAATAAAAGGCAGATATAGGGAAATAGAATTGCTTATATATTACTAGTATAGCTAGCTTTTCTAAAGCTTCTACTACCAGAATTCAATTCGCTAATTTTTAGTACTTTTTCTAGAAATAAAACAGTTCTCTATATATATAACTAACGGATTAGCTATCTGCAAGAATATAAAGTATATTTCAGTAATAAGAGAGAGTTTAGAGCCTTAATTAGCCCTAAAGAAATAAGAATAGTAGCCTATTTAAGTATAAATCTAAAGATACTACTATATAACCGAATAGATAGTTTAATTAGAGATTTCGATATATATTCAGATAATATTATATAAATAAGTATTAATATAAATATATATCTCGATTTCAAATAGTAATAGCTTATTATATCTATTAATTAACTAAATTTAGTTTGGCCCAGATATAATATATTCTTTTTTCTTAAACTATATCTATTATATTTATAATATAATTACTTCAGAATTAAGAAGTTATAATATTATATATAAGCTCTTTCTATAGATAATAAAATATATTAATAAATAAGGCTCTAATCTTTTAAGCTAGAATAAAACTATAAAGTATAAAAAGGCTAACCGGATTATTAGTAAACCTTATTAATAGAAGTATATATATAAATACTACTATTTATAACCTATAACCTATCTATTATTTAGCTTATTCTATAGTATTATAAATAGTTATTTATTTACTACTTATCTATTTATTATAATTATATAGTAGATAAGACCAAGCTTCTTATATATATAAATAACTCTAGTAATTAAAGCTATATAGCTATAATTCTTAAGATCCTCAAATATTTTCTTATCTATATCTCCCAGATAATATAGAATTATAATCTATATATAAAGAAAAGATATATTTACTATTTGAGTATATACTTGAATATTCTATTCTTATAGTTAGTATTTAATTATATAAGTATTAATATTAATTTTCTATAAATCTTTTAATCTTATTATAATTATTTTATAAAAAATATTTATATAAGCCTATTTAATAATAGTATTATAATATAGTAAAAGATTTATAAAGTATTATAATATTTTAATATAATTAAATAAGATATTAATAGTATTAATATATTATAAGTTCAGGCTATATATTACTATTACGAAGCACTTTTAGTAATATAAGTGCTAAATTATTAGAGTAATAGTGAGGTATACCCTAAAAATAGAGGGGCAGGCACGTACGGTTATCAGAAATCAGAAAATCAGAAATCGAAAATCAGAAAATCAAATCTCGCTTCTCGGTTTTGTCGACTAGCTAGCTGTGGGCCTCAGTAGGCTCGCAGAGAGAAGGCAAAGGTATGTATGGGATATACTAGGACCTGTTGGTGATTATGTCAGGAGTCTTGCTAGGATTCAGCAAATGCACCAAACCAAATTGTCGTTTTCGAAATTGTTTCCGCCCGATCATCGACCTTCTCTCGAGTGGTGTTGGCTTTGGTTTAGAGTCTTTGCGGCCCATCCGTGGCTGCAAAAATGTCTCCATCGAGGTCATCGAGTTCGGTTCGAGCGTTACTGACCTGGTCCTGGATCTCTTCCAGCTCATCCATCATCCCCGCCGCAAGTTCCGCAAGTAAACAGCTATTGAGCTCGTATTGGGCTGATTCCTAAACATAGAGGAACAGGTCTAAGGACCCGGAACCGATAATAGCGCTGATGCTGAAACGGCGGGCAAGAGCAAACGGTACCTCTTGTGAAGTTTGGACCTGAAGAGAACCATCGCTTACCGCAAAGCAGTCATTCGTCGACTCCGCGACAGGGCGACAACAGACGCGAGGCGAGTCTCCCAGCTGGAGGCGCGTACTGGCAACAGTTGATACAGAGGCCAGCCATGCCATACGTACTGGCGATGGAGGATGTCCAGCAATCTTCGAGTAAAGTGTAGACCAGTAAGATGAGCGGAAGGAGGAGACATCCCTAAAATAGATCTAGAAGTCGCTAATGAGTAAGCTCCGCTAGGCTCATTGCTCGGATTTGAAAAAACTGTGATGCCGCTCGGGTCACTGGCACCGTTCCCCTTTCCGACTTACGAACTCGTTCCGAATCAGTAACCGCGTGAGGCAGAACCGACCTCATTATCAGATGCGGTATTCGGGCTCATAACCGGCGGGAAAAGAGGCCATATGGTATTTGGACCGCGACTTTGGAGTTGAGGCGGATGTTCTAACATGAGGGTGTTGAGAGTGTCGGCATCCGCGGATATACTGTGGTGGGAGAATTGAAGGTGGGGCTAGCGTCTATCAACTGTCAGTTTGCCCCTAGCCCAAGAGTTGTAGCTGACTCACTCCTATATTGTCTATTGTGCAACTTCCACCCACATACATTCAGCCAGCAGGTTTAATTTAGCGCTCTTTGCCGTTTTCTTCCCCAAAATTCCTTATACTGAGGAGCAGGGGAAACCAAAACTCTAAAATGCATTGGGATAATGGTCTCCACACCCCCATAGGGTGATTATTGTTGGCTCCAGTATCGATAAGTGGGCTAGAGCCCATTCATCACGGACAGAATATCTTCCTTTGACAGAGCCTTGATTCTCTCGTCTACAAGAACAAGGTCGTCCCTGTTCGACTATGTGGTCATCCATCACCGCAGTCTTGTGCGCTTTAAATAAAAATTTCGAAAGTTGAGGTACACGGATATACGTCCAAAGGGTAAGCTCTAAAGAGGTTGGTAAAAGGTGAGGTACACGTTGGACATATATCGGAAATACGTCCAACGTGCACCTCTTGATGTTGACGCCAGCGTAAAGAGAAAAGAAAAGAACGCCACTGCAAAAAAACATCAGACAACAGAGTCAAATGCCGAAATGCCATCTCCCGAACCACAGACAAGTCATCCAAACAACCAGTTTCAATCTACGCGGATCTCTAACTCACCGCAAATTCAATACGGATACGCCGCACCTCATCCTCCATGTAGAGGTCTAGCTCATTCGCCACCTGCTCCCTATGCTTTCCATCCAAATACTCCAGCAACACCTCCTCATACATCTCCTTCCCCTTATACCGACTAACATTATCCCCCCAACTCCTAACCGCGCTCGCCAGTCTTCGGGGCACATAATATTCCTACACAATCTCCGTAATCGGATGAAAATACGTGCGGATGGCAAACACCACGCCCCCACTGCGCAGCAGCCTGCGTAGTGTTTGCTGAATGGACCGGAAGTAGTAGTGTTCGACTACCTTGTTTTTCTCGGCGGTGAACCAGCCTACGGTCCCCTCCTCGCCGTCTTCCGGGCCAATAGATAAGGACCAGGCTAGCGAATCGTCGACTTGGATGAAGTAGTTATTCTATTTATTCGTGTCACCATTAGCGCGTCTGCAGTTACACGGATATCTGAAAATCAAGAGGCCGGGGAAAAATCGAGAAGGGCGAGACTTATACGCTATATAGGCCCGCTAGGCTATACGCGACGAAAGAAATTCATCATCCCCTTCTCAAGTTTCTCCTTAAAACCCGGCATATCACCCGAGGTATGAATCTCACTCAACGGTATACCCAGCTTATCCTGCAGCTTCCAAAAGCCAGTTCATAGAATAGCGCCAGCAAGTATAATACTGCCCGCCCTCCTTCTTAAATATGATAGTAAGGTCATCCTATACCATGCGAGCGGCCATTTGCATCGGATCCTCAGTCAGCGGGCGCTCGACGATATTGAAGCTCTCGCCCGTTAGCACGTTATTTATGCCGACAGGGGTGCGCTCATAGCGAGGGGTAGCGCTCCGGGAGGTAGGCGCAGAATTCCTACAGTAGCTCGACGGCGCCGTCGAAGGCCGCGGGGTCTGTGTGGCAGCATTTGGGCCCGCGCTCGATGATGCGGGCGGCCTTGTCGGCGTGGTATTTCGGGTAGTGGTTGTCGAGCTCTGATGGCGTTTACTTTCGTACTGAGTATCCGCAGGCGTACGCAGGTGTGCGCGGGCTAGCATTAGCGTCCGCGGGCGCGCTCTAGCCTATTTAAGCTCTCGCTAGAGCCTTAGAGCTGTACGCTAGCCAGAAATGGACTTTTTGTGCCAAGACTTTGATTTCGCAGTGAATGCTGCAATTTTTGGCCTGGGTGCCTTACTTTGTACGGTAGTAGGACAACTTCTTTTCGCTAAAGCTACAAGAAGCATAAGAAGCTTAGAGCGAAACCGGGCTTATAAGTAACGATTACACTATTAGAGATAAATTATTTATTAAATAAAGCTTAGAATTAAGGGTAGAGATAATTATAAGTAAGATGTCTAAAGTACAAGAAGAGCAGCTATTTATGCTTGCTTAAGGAAGCTAACTCCATTAGGATGATTAGAATGATTCACGTGATGCCCAATTGACACGCTAGCATGGCTCCAAACCTTCCTTCTGACAGAATATGAACCTCACTACATTCTCGATGAAGAAAATTGGGAGCATGTAAAATGCAGCCTTTCCTTGACGCCTCGCGCACGCACGTCCTCGGTCGTACAATTTGGCTTCCGAATCTTTCCTTCGTTCTGGAGAAATTCCAGAGGCGGTGGGGAGAACACCGTTTTGTTGAAGCGAAAAGTAAAATAGTCAGCGGATACCCTGTAATGTATATGTTTGGATGTTCAAATTTATCTGAATTTCACTCCTGAGGTATCTTTGATCAAAATACCAGATTTCATGTCATGCAGGCAATTTCATTAGCCTGCAGGCAGAAAATACCGCAGCCTCGTGAGTCGTGGCAAGGTGGTATAGGCTGACTTCTTCGAGGCTTGTAAAAGTCAAAACCTCGTGGGAACAAAATCCAAACTTCGTACTAGCAAGCGCTAAATACCAAAAATGTCGAATGCTAATACTCTTGTTGAAGGCTATCCTCGACTGGCCGCTCAGATGGGCCATTATCCCGAGACTGGTATCTATCGCCGATTCGCTTCCCTCAATTCACAGAATTTGCTTTACCTTCAGGCTGAGCTTGTCCATCTTGAGAAGAAAGTTCGACAATTAGAGACTGCTGCTAGTCGAGAGCAAGGTGGCAACAAATATTTGTATGCCAAAGACTGGTATTGGCTGAAAGTTTCAGCGGAAGACGGCGAAAATGAGCTGTGGCAAACGGTACAGGAGACCAAGGCAAAATTGAAGGAGTACAGTGCGCTTTTTAGCCTGTTCACAAACGATTTCGGTCCATTTGCTAAGGCATTTACAGACGATGCACTCCTTCAGCAAGTGACTCTGTCGGCATTGCCAGAGCCAAACGCATATAGTCTCCGAACTTTACGTCACTGGCTCCAAGAGAGAAGCCTCGGAAACCTTGCTCTGATTGGCGAGGACTCAAAAGTATGGGGTGCTGCTAGTGAGCCTCTCAATCATGCCTCTGACTTGATTGTCATCAGGGGGCAACCGACCATAGATCGATTCTCGAAATGGTTCGTCGAAAGGTTTCTCGTCTGGTTTCACCGTCGCTTCTGGCATCAAGTAAAACAGCTGAATGATATTGAGTCGGGAATGGCAGTCTACGAGGACGAGAATCTCATACGATATACATCGCATGCTACTACTATTGTTGCATCTTTATTACCCGTTATATCTACTATTATTTTATACCGAGTTCAAGATATTGGGTTACGGCTTGGCATTACCGCTATATTCACTTTCATTTTCGTTTTCTGCCTTGCTTTCTTTACAGATGCACAAGCACCTGAGATATTCGCAGCTACTGCCGCGTAAGCAATATTCAACAAAGCCAAGTATAAATTGCATTGCTAATTGATATCAAATTAGATTCTCCGCTGTCCAGGTGGTTTTCATCTCAGGGAATGGACTGCCGGTTTCTCATTGAAAGGTTGATAAATCAGCTGCATGAACCAAACGAAGAGGAACATTTGGAAAAGGGAATTGGCGCCCATGCTGAGAACTTTTGGACTTGACCATGATGGTTTGCTATCCAGCTTAGTTTTGATCCTTCGAGGAGCCTTCTCCATTGCCGTGCTGTCCTTGAGCCTTGGCAGCAGCTCTTGCAGCCTTGTCTCTTTCAACTCTTTCTGCATTATCAGCGACGTCTTTCTTGTATTTTTCGATGCGTGCAGCATCCTCAGCGCTGTCTTCTAGGCAGTATTAGTCTTGGAGAGCATTATTGAGTTTCATCATCTCCTTACTCTTTTCTTTTTTGTAGAAAACCTGACGTTTCGAGCCCCCGAAAGCCCCGGCGGTGAGCAGATTATGCGTGGCGCATGTTTTGGCGCCTAAGATGATTTGCCATGCGAGAGAATCACCTTGCACAACATAAAACCGAGATTCGAAGATCTTGTATAAGCCTACTCCCTCCCATCGCAACACAATCGTGCCAATGGATCGGAGCATGCTGCCGTTAAGACAAACACCAACCGCCTCGTCACATAGTTGAACCTTGTCAATGCATCCCAAGGTAATAATCACATCAAAAGTGATCAAATCTCCTGCATAGCACCCTGCGTCAAGGATTGCTTTGAATTGTTGTGCTTGCAAGTTCGAAGTCGGTTCCAGAATTTGGATAGTTCTAGTGAACATTTCATGACTCTCCTTTCCAGCATTAGCATATCCTTAGTACATTAAAGAAAGTCTTACTTCTTTTCCTACATGACGACGTTTCCCGGAGAGTCTCCATTTCGCTTTGATGTTCTTCCAGCCAAGAGAGAACATATTGACACACTTTATGGGTTGCATCCCGACAATGAGAGGCTCAGAGATTGATTCGTTGAAGTGTTACAGTAATTCTCCTGTGGCTGTTGTGAAGTGAATATCCCTAGAGGCCAAAACTGGACGGACAGCTATGGGAATTTTTGCATGAGCTTTATGCCGAAACCCAGAACATCCCTGCATGACCTTGACGTTCCTGTGTCCCAATTTGATCTTGAATGACTACGATACAATTGTACGTGGGCCAGTGAAGAAACATCATTTGGACGAGTAGGTACGAATATCAGACACGCAATGCAGGTAATAAGGCTTGGGTGCGCTAATCAAGGATCTCACATTCAAGATTCAGGACTGGACAAATGAAAGGGAGAGAACCCAGAGTTTCGGATATTTAAAAGTGGGTAGTCCCATGCAAATAGATACCAATAACGTCTCGGGAAATTTGGAGGATTACGGAGACAGCCGAATGGCAAGGGGCTGCAGTCAAGATTCCGACTTCGTCCAATCGCAGCGTGGAAGCCCAGTCCCACTCTACGGGTACGCTTATTCTGGGGACAGTTTCGTGAGGCAGCTACGGAAGAAGATTATGCCGCTTCGCTAAGCGACCCAATTAAAATAAGATCACCTGATCGTCCTGCTCTAACCACTCCTCACGGAGGTACAGCCCATAAGTATTACGACGCCACCACTAATAAGGGGACCCCTTGCGTGTACGCTTAAGCCTAATTAGGAAGCACTCATTAAAGCATCAAAACAAACACTTTTTGACGCGTTTTCTAGTTGAATTCTACTTGCAATTGCTTTAATTATAGCAAATTTCTTGAATCTAATTCTAAATCCTTTAATAAAGCTATTTTACACCTTTTTATTTATTAGATAAAAGCCTCAGACCTTATACGAGATTAAAAACGCGATTGCCGGCTATTGCAGTTAATTAAATAGTTTTATTTGCAAATTTAAAAGTATATTATAATAGGGTTTTTTCTCTCTTATCTTATAACTATTATTATATATTTTGCTTTTTAAATATACTAATACTAGTTTAAAAGATTATATAAGACTTTCGTTTATATATATAATTAGTCTTTCTAATATATTAATCTTTAAAGCCCTTTATTTTTAATTATTTATATTATTTTATTACTATAGTATATTAAAAATCTTAAGATTATTACTTTTATTTATTTAGCTTCTTATTTTCTTTATCTTTACTTATATATTTAATATTTATATATAGTTCGAAATTCATATAATAATCAAATTATAATAGCTAATATCTTTAAATTATATAAGTATTTTTTAAATTCTAAAAGTATATTTGCTTTTAATTACATTTGCGCGTTTTAGCTTCAATTATATAAGTTTTCTAAAGTTAGAATATTAGCCGACTAGCTATTAATCTTATTTGCTTGTAATTATAAAGATATATTTCTTTATACTAATTTTATAAATAAAGTAATTCGTAAAACTATTTCTTTTATTATATCTTTTAATTACTAATTTTCTTATTATATTTATTTATAATATATATATAATTATTAGAAGATATAAAGATTTCTTTATATTAGCCTGTTTTATTAAGAAGTTAATAGCTTATTCTAAAGGAATTAGTATAGAGTTAGCCTATATTAAGGTTATAGCTTCGGGAATTTATAATAAAAAACCTTATATTTAGTAATTCTTTATATAAATAATTAAATAATTTATATCTTATTTGTTTTATATAAAAAGGTTTTTTACTAAAGCTTTAGAACCGGTTTTTAGAATTAAGGCAATTACTTATATATTATAACCTTTTCCGAAAATTAGGTAATTATTATAAAACTAGAACTTATTATTTTCTTTTATAATATTATTAATTTTAACTACTTAAGCTACTGAGATAATGCACGTAAAAATTATAGAGTAGAGAGTTATATTAAATAGTAAAAGAGTTTATTAAACTAGCTAGAAAAGAGCTTAAGTAAAGTATAAAGCTTTAGGAAGTGAGTATATAGATCCTAACTAAGTAGAGCAATTACGCTAGCCTTAATTTAGTAATTCTCACTGTAATATATCTCCCAGAAAGGCATAATACCGTATTCTACCTATTTTGCCTAATTAGAGAGCTTTGAAATAGTAAAATTTGTCTAATATATAAGTTTTATAGAGCCGTATTAATATTCTAATCCGAATAGGCTTAGTATATATTATTTCCCCAGATTACCGAATTCCAGGGGATTCCTATATAAATCCCCCCTTTTTACTAACTTCAGAGCCTCTAATTAAATATTCTTCTTTAATACCCTTCTAGAGATTCTTTCCCAAGCTTCTGATTATTATAAATATGGCTTTTATCTCTTCTCGCACTACTATTAAGTTAATTCCGGCTTGTAAATCCAAGATATTTTTAACCCAAAATACGTTCTTGCTTTATTTTTTACTAACTTTAGATAGTATTAAATAGCTCGCAAGTCCGCCGTAAATATAGCTCTTAATTATTAATATAAAGCTTACTCTTAATAAAGTATTAAGGTTTAGATTTCTATAGTATTTTCTAATACTCCTAGTACTTCTTTACTAAAGATAAAGAAGTTTATACTAAAGCCTTATACTTCTTGTCCTACTTATACTAGTCTCAGAGAAATTCCTTATATGAGTTATTATAAGTTCTTTATACTATTCCAAAGCTTGTTTTGACTTAATATAGTCTTATTTGCTCTAAAGAGTAAGAGTAATAGTTCTTACTATAATACTATTAGCTAAGGTTCTTATTACTAGAAATATACTTCTAGTTATTCTTATTTAGCTATTTTAATCTCTTATATCCCTATTATATAGCTCTTTCTTATAGAACTTCCGATTACTAAAGACGCTATAAGCTCTCTTTTCTTAATTCTCTTTTATAGATTCTAACTATTTTAAAGTATTTATTTGCTTTTAGGTATTCTATTTATACTATACTTGAGATTACTGAATCTAATAAAGAAGATAGTAATAAGAGCTCTTTTACTAAGGTTTAAGAGGCTATTAAGAGAAATAAGGAGTAATCTAATTAGGTAAAGGGCCTTTTATATAAGCTTATTAATACCGTAGTAAAGTGCTTTTAGATCTCTTATAATTAGCTCTTAAGCTTTATTATTTTAATAGATTTTATAAATAAAAGATATAAATAAAAGCTTCTTTTTATATTATTTAATTATTTTAATCTTTATTCTAATATCCTAAAGATTTAGTAAAGCTCTAAAGTTCTCGAATTTAAATTAGAATAGATTTTTCATAAGTCCGTCTATAGGCATATTACTTATTTAAAGATATATAACTTGAAATATGCCTTTATTATATTCTTAATATAGCCATATATTCTAGATATTAATATAATAGAGCTTTATAATAATCCTTTTATTCTCTCTAATAATTAGTTAAATAGTCTACTTATTATTATAGAATATAATCTAGAGCTCTCTAAGATCTAAGTATAGATCTCTAAATAGCCTCTAAAGAGCTATAGTTTCCTTTGCTATATAAGTAACTTTATATATTTTTAATTTAGTTAAGGAAATAGTTATAAAGCTTTATTAAGCGGCTTTCTATAATATTAAACCTCTAAATAAGGAGATTATATATCTATGGCTTAATTATTATATATCTAGGTTATTTATATATAAAGTATTAGATGTAATTTATAGCTATATCTCTCTATATTTCCTATTATACTAAATTACTAGAAACCGGGTTCTAAACAGGTATTAGAGAGCCTAATCTATAGCTATAAAGTGCTCTAGAGCAGGGTTTATTAAGAACTAAGAGAGTACTAAAGTAGTAAAAGCTATATCTGGCCTAATTATAATTATAATATAAAGTAATAATCTAATCTTCTTCTAATATGCCTTGATTTAATATAAATGAGCTTAATTACTATATTTTTAAAGATTAATTTCAGGTAATAGAATATTAGGGCACTTCCTATTTATTATCCTAAACTTCTTAGTAATCTTCTTAATATAGGTATTATAAACTAGCTAGAGCTTTTTAGCCTTCTAATCTCTAATTATATAAATTTCTAGGAACTACTTTATATTCTATATATTATAAAGCTTGTAAACTATCTTAATCTGAGTAATAATTAATTAAGTATGCGTTTTATTATTCTTATAATAGAGTACTTGGAAGTTATTTATATAGAAAATAATAAAGATCTTGTAATCTATATTTACGTAAATATAGGGCTTTTTATTAAGTCTAAAGAGTCTAATTCTCTTAAGAGTATTTATCTAGTACTTATACTATAGAGTAGGAGAGTCTTATAGCCTATATAGAGCTCAATTTACCTCTATTACGTATTCTAGTATCTTGAAACTATCTGGTAGCTTATATATTACTATAGGCCTATTAGAATCTCTTTCCGTATTAATAAACGTGTTTATAATATTAAATTACTTTATTTCCAGATTAAAATAAGCCATAATTATACTAGTTACTCAAAAAGACTTTATTACGAGTATAATAGTATATATAAATAGGAGTAATGCCTTTTCTTAGAGATCTTTATAAACTACTAGCCTTAAGTAATATTAAGTAATATATTTATTAGAATTAATTTTATATATAAATACCTATTTTAAAGGGATTAGAAGTGCACTTGCTTTATTACTAGAAATAATTCTCTAGTAATTTCGAGCTTTAAAGTTATTAATCTCTAGTTTAGTATCTAATTTAAAGTACTTCCTAGCTAGGTACTTCTTTAGATTATTTTATATCTTTAGAGCCTTTAGAAAATTATTAATATGAATTTTTCTCGTTATTATATTACCCGGAGCGCTTTGCTCTGGATATACTCTTAATTAAACTACTACCGTAATTATAGTATATATAGTCTTATAATTAAATCTTTTCTTATAATTCTCTAGTTAATTAGGCCAGAGAGACCCTAAAAGAGACTTTAAGTAGTTAATCTAATTCGATTTACCTATTATTTATAGTAGTATACTTACTATAATAATTATACTACTACTAGCTTTATCTGGATTTCCGTCCTAATTATTTCTCTTATACGAGTGTATTTGGATTAGCCCTTCTCTAGTTCTAATAATTAGCTTCTTTATTTATTTTCTCTTTAGTTTTACTATTTAATTTTCTATTTTAGCTAAGCTATTTACTCTTTCTATAGAGGATTCTCCTATTTCTATTAAGCTATTTACTTGTTCTATAAGTGAGCTTCCTACTTCGCTTATAGGAACTATTAGTAGACCTTATTACT